TCACTTGGGTTTAGGATCGTCTCCTATTATTTAGGTCAGACAACTTTTTCTTCTGCTTTTAGTTATCCTGAACATCTGGAGGTTTTGGACTCCCCAGTGCGATCCAGCCTTCTTCCCAAATTGCCTTTTCCATTACTTAATCAAAATATTAAGGTGGTACTACATGCCTTGTTTCAACAACCATTTGATCCTTTAGCCTCATGTACCATGTATAATCTCTCCTATAACTTTCTCAACACGGGGGTCATTCAATTTGACAGAGTCACGTGACTTTTGAACTCATTTAAAGTCTTTATAAATTTAATACTTATAACTCTCAATATATTGGGTATATCTTTACGGAATTTGGCAGTCTTTCAGTTAATATTACAAGTCTTTCACATACAAAATGTCATATTTCTTTGTGAAGTATTTTCAATAAAATAAAGATTTGTCCATGATTATATTGAGTATTTATTTTGAATAGTCCGTGTGCAAAGTAATTTTCATGTTAAAATTAAAAATACTTTTCATCATCTTAAAAATCTCAAATTTCCTTTGTGTAATCCCTAAAACCTCCTAAATGCATTTCAAACGTTTTTTTTTCACTAAATTCTTATAGTTTATTTGTTATTTTCTCTACCTTATCTCAAAATGAGATTGGTCAATTCCACTAACCTCGATTCTATTCCACCAGATTTCATTATCAGAGCTAGGAAGTCCTTACCACACCCAGTTTCCAATTGCTGGGATGGTAGACATAAACTTTTCCTCAAGTGTGTTCTTCCACTCTTGGAGAAGAGGGTGAAGCTGGGTGGCCCTCCCACCTGTGTTCCTGGATGTATTTCCCAGATGTCGGTAGGAGCGATGCTGGCCTATGCAGGAGCCTGCTTGTAATGGTGGTTCAGATATTATCCTACGCTATCTGGTTGTGGTGTTCTTGGCCCTTCTTATGAACAATGTTGGGTTGTATATTGTTCATGGATGAAGGTCCACTATCTACTCATAATTCTGAACACGAAGTGGTCCCATCCTAGGTCCTTAGTTGAACACAGTGTTCCACATCCTTTCCATAATTCCAGGGGCAAATGGAATGCTCTTTGCTCACTCGATTGGAGATTGAGGATGAATGTTGACTAGATTTCTGTTCCTTTGGTTGAGTAAGGCACTATATGATTTCATCATTCCTAGTCTGTGGTGGTGGTGCCTTTCAGACTTTTTCACTCTATGGCTACAGGTTGGGATCCAGTTAAAAGTATATCTATATATCACATTGTTGTCCAATTGCCCTATGGATATAGGGACCATGACCCCTTAATTCCAACCATGGGTTGTGGAACCTTGGGTTATCTGTTTGGGGCTGGCCTATAATAATCACACATGTACTGTCCCACCCTTGATACCAATATTCTGGGTGAAGAGCATATCTGTTCTGGATGTAGTGCGGTTTCCCCACTTGGGTACCACTTTTATCTTGGTACACCTCTGTTTTATACAGATGCTTTCTGTATGGATAATGCCCTCATTGGCCCCTCCATCTCCTCAGTGTGGGATTATAGCTAAAGTGTCAGCAAAGGGTAAGTATGTTTTGGAAGTTAACATTTTTCTAAATTGAAAATGTATTCCCAATAATACCTCTTCTGACACTCTCCCGCCCTTCCTCCCCACTAAGAGCCGACATTAGTGATTGGGATTGTAAGTCTTGAAAAAGTGATTACATTATCTGAGTGAAGTGTTATAAACAATGTCAGGATAGAGGCCTCATTGAAGCAAGTGGAGGAATTTGCAAATTAGATATTGCCAAGGGCATTTAAGTGGGGTATAAAAGATTGGTGCATGCAAGACCAATGCTTAGATAGGCAAAGCCAACATCAAGGAATAGGTAAAGTGTCATTGGAAATAAATATTATTGGAAATAGATTTTCAATTTAAAAAAATATTAACTTCCAGTACTCAGTACAAGTGAGTACTGACAGAATTTCACCCCTGGTCAAAAGAGAGTTGTGATAGTAATATGTCAAAGGACCATTTCGAACAGTTAAGCAGCATTTCAGTCAATATATTTATATATTATTTAATTGCATTTGTACACACTATTTATCAAGTGAGTAGCTTCAAAAATAAAATCATTCCACATTTCCATGGATTAATATCAGTATGATTAATGTCTTATTAAAAAGAAACTGTCCTACAGATATGTGAAATTATCACTTGTGTAACCTGGTGGAAGTTAAATAGTTTAGACTTTTTTCCCACTAGAAACACATCAACAAGCTTAACTGAATTTTTAACCACTGTTATCGCATAGTTAGAAAGCCAGAAAAATTATAACAGTTATTGGATATTGTGTGCTTTTTACATGTTGTTATTCTTTGTCTATAGGTGCATTATTTAATAAAATAAAAAAATGTTTAGTGCAGTAGTACCATTAGTATGAAAAAGTATGGTTAAGTTTCATTGACAATCAACAGCAAAAAGAACATGATGCAGGTAAGTATTATATTTATTGTTTTTAATGTGTATTCTTTATTTATTATTATAAAAGTAACTAAAATTTAAAAATTAGAAATATATTACAATTGATAAGGTTAGATTAGGTAAGATAAAGAAAAATAATAAAAAGATATTTTTATGAGGTATGCTCACAAGTAGCCTGTGTTTTACATAATTTGATACACATTCAACAAGTGCTTTATAACTTTTGTGGTGAGGTTATTAGTTAAATATGGTTCAAAGGGCAATAAAACAATACAATTTAAGTAGAAATAAATATATACTGTTATGAGATTTCAGCTATTTAGGATAAACAAATGTAGTTTCATGTTAGAATTTGAAGACACTAGACAGAAAAGAAGGGTAATTTAGATTTATTTCATATGTTTTTATGGTGGTTATGAGGTCAGTTAAATTGTATAGAGTTAGGATAAAGAAAATTACAGATAAAATACAGTTTTACTGAAAAAAAGTTTGAAATTTAATTTGGAGGCTTTAGAGAATATGCAAATAAAGTTTGACAAATTTCAGATGAAGAGAAGTATTTTTAATCTTAATATGAAAACCACTTTGCACTCGGAGCAGTCAACATTTTGACTTCGTGTATTCATCAAGAAATTTATAGCAAAAATATTTCATTAAAAATTCAACTTTTTTGTCTACAAAAAAGCTTACTGAAAGCTTGTGAAATTTTGTGAAGATACACAAAACATATTAGAAGTTATAGTTTTAAACTATAAAGGCCAGTTTGGGTTCATGAACTTGGCTGATTTGACTGAGCCCATAACAAGAGAGTTAATAGCACAAATTTCATTTCATTTAAAGAAGCTTCAAGTACTTTATAAAATAAAAGTAGAAAAAAGCAGGAAACACTTTTTGATGCTTAATTTCACCCATATGGACCCAGAAAACTTGATTTAAATTGATGTGATCTATAAAAAGTTTGAATACTGCTGTCATTAATTACAGTGGATTACTAAAGAAGTTAAAATACAGATTTGTATACAGTTAGTGGTTGGACAAAACACAAATAAAATAATAAAATAGAACTGTAGTTTTTTTGTTGTTTTGAGTGCATAGTTAGAAACCTAGTAGTACTTCGAGTTTAATGGTATATTTGTGTATTAGTGATGTAGTATTACATTCAGGATGAAGTTTGTCACAGTAGCCTGATGTGTTCAAATTCTTCATTGAACCTTGAAATAATGTGTATAATTTCAAAACTTTAACAAGTGTTATGAATATTTTGAACCATTATTTTGTTGTTGTGACTGTGGATATTTATTTCACAAATCACAGTTTCTTATAAACATAGTTAGACAACCCTTAGATATTTTCAGGAAAACGAAGATTCGAAAACAAAAAATGTCCATTTTTCATCGCAAGAATAGAAAACGATATATTCAACCACAAAATAACCTGCCTGGTTATGAGGAAGCTGAGGTAGGTGTTGCTGACATCTCTTTCAGTGAATATTAAAATTATTAAAATGGAAACTTTCTGCTTCATAATCTGTTGATGTGTGGTGAATAAGTGCTGCTTCCATTTTCTTAATTTGATGTTGGAAGCTACGTTAGTTGTAAATATACTTCAGGCCATAAAGGCATGTTAATGTTTACCTATTGATGAAATGCATTAACTTCACCAATAGCTAATACATTAATAATCAAAAGTTTGTTTTTTCTCTCAAACATTTTCTTTTACTGTTGTTTCAAAGTATTATTTCTGGTTTAAACCTATTGCTTGGCAACAGTGGTTTGTTCTTATAGAATAACAGTAATGTTCTGATCAACATAAGATTGTTTTGGGACAACATGGGACCTATTGGTCCATCTTGGCTGTCCCATCCTCTAAACTCAACTAAAACATCTTAAAGCCAGCCCTTATCATTCATATACTTAACAAGCTTTCTTGTAAACCCACTTGAATTTACTGCTTCCACAACATCCAAAGGCAACACATTCCAAAAACCAATCACCCTGTTAGAAAAATTTTAGCAGAAGATGACCACTACCTTGCCAAAATTTATATTTGTGTCCGCTAGTTCTACTATTCTCACTGTTAAATATGAACAAAAATGATGCATCAACACTATCAAATTCCCAATACAATATTAAACACCTCAATCAGATTCCCCCCCCCCCCAACTCTTCTTTTTTCAAGAGAGAACAA